CTGATGTTTATTCGTGGACAGAATCCCCATTGATGTCTGGACCCACAACACCTTTGCCAGACAAAAAAATATTGGTGTTCATTCTTGACAGACTTCAAAAGTATGTTTTTTCCTTTTCTCTATGGATAGTATTATTTATTTCATGTACTTGGGTTGTTTCTTTTGGTTTCATATTGTATACTTAAGCATTGGTTTTTTTTTTCTTTAATAAAAATGCAGGAAGGACACTTATGGTGTATTCTCTGATCCCGTTGATTCGAATGAGGTACATTTCTAAAGGTGTCGAGTCGTGTTGAATTGTAACTATATCATCTGTAGATGTTGAAATAATTTCCTTGCAGCTTCCTGATTATCATGAGATTATTAAGCATCCGATGGATTTTGGAACCTTAAGAAAGAAACTTGATGGAGGGCTCTACTCAAACCTGGAAGAGTTGGAGGTCAGTTAAAGATTTGCCAAGCTGAACTTTGTAGCACTATTGCTTGTATTTGGATTGTTATGAATTCAGTTTGGGTGACACCTTTCATTATCGATTGATTTGAAGTACTTACATTTGCAGTTTGAGTTGAGAACATCACCTTTAACTTTCCTGTTAGTATAATTTGATTCGGTTATAAATGGTTGGAGAATTTGTTAAAAATAAAAAAAACAGTGTAGTAGCTAAAGAAAGATCAAAATTGTATTACGTTTACCAGTTTGATGTTGTGCTGTTTAAAGAAAAATATCTGAAATGTTCAAGTTTAGAGAAGAGTGAAAATAGTTGACATATTTTACATTTGTAATAGGAGAAGATGGAGGGCTAGGTGAGTTTTCCTAAAGATACCATAGAAATACTTCTTTTTGGATTTTGATGGTCAAGTCTAGTGTTTAACAGTATTCTCTTCCACTAGGAAATTACAATATTAGCACCCTTCTTAAGTTGTGCATGAACAACTGCAGGCACGACTTGTCGTCGAGACTCCTGCCCCAAATTAAGGGATTCGACGACTTGTGCACTAAAGCTCATGATGTGGATTCGAACCACTGCTTCTCCTTATTGTTGTGAGCGGGTCTGTCGTCCTCCTCATCCTGAAGCTCAATGGACTTGTTTCTTTTTCTCTCTTTGTTTAGTTTGTCTTGTTTCTTGGTGTGATCAGCCTTTTATGTAAAATCATTTGACTTAATCTTTGGGAGTCCAATTCTTATTGATCTCTTTCATTATTTGAAATTCATGTATTTTCGTCTTTAGCCTCGTGAGTTGGTTCTTGCTGAAGAAGTCAAACTGTATCTAAGATTTTGCAGTCTACATTTGGCACTTGCTTGCTGGTGAATGGTATACTCTACGTTGTCAGCAAATATTCTTCTCTTTGATGGTTCCTTAAGGTGGCCAATTTGTTAATATCAGTTTGTGCTAGAATGGATAAAGAGCTACCTAGTGGAATAAAAAGCTAAGCAAAAAAAGTATTCCTAAGATGTAAAAATTCACCAGCACATTCTTAATGCTACACATCAATAAAATTGTACCCTTATAAAAGTTATAATGAAGGCCAAGAGAAGATGGCATTATATACACATGTCTCGACATTGATAGTTTTGAGGATTTGAAAAGTTATGTTGTTTTACAAATAAATTCACTAGATAGAGTAAAGTTTGTTGAATTTATAACGAGATCTGTTCATATTTCTTGCTTCATATGTTCATTTGTGATTTGTCTATCTCTTCTATATATTATTTGGGTGTGATATTGGTCAGTAGAAGGGGATTTTGTTCATGTTCCCACCTCTCAAAAATTATTGTTGGAGTAAAAACAATTGAATATAATGTTGATATCACTGACACTATTATGATTTATGCAGGCTGATGTTTTCTTGATATGTTCAAATGCAATGCAGTATAATGCCGCAGACACAGTTTACTATCGACAGGTTTGTTTAGCATCTCTCTACTCCTTTTCTTGTCTTTCATTGTTTCCGAATATCCTTAACACTTCCTACTGTAGGCACGATCCATTCAAGATCTGGTGAGAAGAGATTTTGAAAACTTGAGGCATGAAGGAGAGGATGGTGCACCACAACCTAAGGTAGTTCGTAGAGGCCGTCCTCCAAGCAAAAACCTCAAAAAGTCTGTTGAAAATTCACCAATAGACCGTGTTGTCCCTGAGCATTCTTCAGGTGCTACTCTTGCTAGTGGAGATGACAAAGCTATTGGATCTAATTCTTATAATCTAAGAAGGGGACCTATGCTTTCTACTACTGATGCATCTTTTGCCAATCACTCGCGTAATGGTGAAAACTACTTTGATTGGTCAACTGATTGGAATAATGAGTTTCCAGGTTTGAACCTAACACCATGTTCAATTCTCTTCAACTCTTTTAAAGATAAAAACGACTAATTACCTTGTTGCTTACAGCTAATATCTTGAAGGCTGACATGAAGTATGGAAAGAAACATTTTTCTATTAATGAGAACAGGCGTGACACATACCAACAGTTCCATCCTTCAGCTTCTTATAAGGAGTCATCTGTCCTGTGGAATACTGATCGTGATATGAAGCAGTTAATGACTGTATGTACTAAAAACTTACACTACTACTTTTCTTATTTTTATGTTTTCTTGACAGTCACAGACTAGGGAATACTTGGCTTTGGTCTTTCATTGAATTACACATTTCTATCTGTTATTATTAAATTGATAATTTAGAAAAATTTAAATGAGAACTAACCAATGTATTACTTTTCTTAAATCAAGAAAAGTGTGTCCAATTTTGTCTTATACATACTGTCCCACTTTGTTTGTCCAATTTTACATGGACTTTTATATAATTTACATTTCCATATTTAGTTTACCACATAGAACATGTCTGGATAAGTCAAACAACTGGAGATGACCGGTTCCCTACCAGATCTCTTATCGTTCTTTTGTTTGTCGTCATCTCCGTCCTTCTCCCACCCCCCTTAAAACTGTCTGCCAACACAAAAACTTTTTTATGTGTTTACAGAGATGTTACATTAGTTTTTGTTTTACCCAGACTAAAAATGTCATTTGACTCTATTACAGGTAGGTGTCCACGTGGAGCAGCATGCTTATGCAAGAAGCCTTGCCAGATTTGCTGCAAATCTTGGGCCTGTTGTTTGGAAAGTGGCTTCTAAAAAGTTAGAAAATATTTTGCCTCCCGGAGTAAAGTTTGGTCCTGGATGGGTGGGAGAAGATGGAGGGCCAATAGAGCAGTCCGCTTGTCCAACAGAGATCCAAAAGTTACTAGATAATTCGATAGCTGATCCCCATTCTAGTAGACCTGTAATGTGCAAGCCTTCTGCTGAAATCTTTCAAGCTTTCAAGAGATTGAATAGTCAAAACGAGCTTACCAGACAGGATTCTGGAGATGGGGGTTTTTCGTGGGTGAATCCTGCGTCTACCCCAGCTCCACAGAAAGCTTTCCTTCAACCAAGAAATGATTTCAATGGCATGTTTAGGCATGAGTCGTCACCCCAGGTGGAGATGTCAAGGTTTTCTGCATCTAAAGGACAGTCAGGCCTACAAGAGGCATCTAGGCCTAATCAGGAGATGCTTCGTGGAAGAGAGAATCCATTTCATCCTGCACTTTCAAACAATGTTGCTTCAGCAGAAAATAAGCTATTAGAAAGCTGGGCAACATTATATTCTGGAAATTCATTATCCCAAGGTAAAAATCCTGATTTTTGTACAGAACAGAATGTGAGGCTTCTCGGTGAATCAGGGTCTGCATCTTCGATTCAGCAGAGGAGTAGAATGTCAGTTCCACCTGACCTGAATGTACAAGTCCAGACATCGGGCTCTCCTAGTGCTAGTTTATAGATTGGATCCTCGCGGCAGTCAGATTTAGCAGTACAACTCTAATTTTTACTAAGCACTGTTGTTCTCGAACGAGATAGAACACAGGTTTCTATGATTGACAGTTACCTGAAATTCAGGGCTTCATTGTATTAGGAACTTAAGGAGAAAAGTTTGTACAAATTATGTTTTCAAATTCTTAAGAGTAAAGATGGGGATTTTCTTATGTAAGATCTGAAATTTTGAACCCTTGATCCAAAATAGAACAAGTGATCATTGACTTGTTTATCCAACTGCAGAATATATATATTCTGTAATTTGTGACAACAATAATCTTCTTTCCATCAGGGCATACATTATTAGCTTTCCATATGAAATTTGTTCCTAAAGAAAAAGATGGACCTTTTCATTTTTCTGTTCTCATTTCTTGAATCATGTTACTCAAAATAATAGTTGTCGTACGTAGTGTGATTACAATGGAATGCACTTTTGCAGAGATATTGTTTTCGAAAAGTCAGTTGAATAATTAAACCCAAAATTATGACTTTTTGTTTGCAAAATGATATTACTAGACAAGAGGAAGTTACTCAGGATGATAAACACCCCTCGAGGCACCAAGGTAGCAAAAAAGCGAGAGCATTCGAGGAAGTTGCTTGGAGATCCTCGAGGCACCAAGGGGAAAAAAGGCATGAGCTTCCACAGAGAAGTTGCTATGATGATAACACCCTTCGAGACACCAAAGGAGCGAAAAAGTGGGAGAGTTTCCGATCGAGGTTGCTCGGATGAAACACCCTCAAGGTTTCAAGAGAGCAAAAAGGTGGAAGCTTCCACGGAGGGGTAAAAAGAAATGATATTACTAATCTCTAATAAACATTATTACAAGCATCTAACAATTAAATTTCAAGATTTATTATGTTTCATTCATTGACCAACTAAATTTTCAGTTTTAATTTAAGAATTGCACTAATAAATATTACATAGACCATAATTTCAATCCTAATGCTTAAACATTCAATTATTACTATTCCAAATCAAGATTATCAATAACAAAATTACTACTTATAGCAGCCACTATCCTTTTAATATCAACTTTATAGTAAAACAGAATGTTGGTAACTTACTACATACTAAAGTTCATCAAATTAAATTCTTCAATTATAAAAAGGCTAAATCTCCTCCTTTCTTCTTCAATTGAAATTCCACCATTTTAATGGCCGGAAAATTAATTCGTTGCAATTTTCTTTACATTTTTACTTTCTTCATCTTCTTCGTTACTCTCTATCTCCATTTTCTTCGAAATGATTTCTCTGTTGTTTTCTCCGATCAATTTTATCCGACCACTGTAACTTCCTCCATAGCCAATTTAGTTCTTCATGAAAATTTCCCCTTTTCGTCGTTTCCTATTCCGTCTGTTTCAATTCTCATGCCTGATTGGGAAATCTACGTCATCATTGATTACCCCCATTTTCACCAATCTGCTTTTTACTGTGTTTTTGATACCGGAGAGGGAACTCCGGCGGTTCCTGCAGCAGAGCTTCCATTTCCGGCGAGGTCGGTGCTCAAGTGTGATTTCCCAAAAAGGGCTCGTCGGAGTGTGCCTTTTAAGCAACCCAGGTTAAGGGGTTCTTCTGTAAATGCTTATTACCGGAATTCACCATCGCCGGAGCTGTTAAGGTGGACTTTTCTCGTCTATGATTCTCTCACAACTGATAACGACGTCGTTGTATTCGTTAAAGGGTTGAATAAACGCCGAGGCATTAATCGTAAGCCCACAGAATTCAATTGTATCTTCGGCGACGCCGTGAGAACCGCCGTGACGAGTTCAATACAAGAAGTTTTCCGGTGCGAACCGCCGGATAATATAGCCGGGAAAGAGCCGATCAAAGTTTCAATTGAAATTGTGGGGCCCACTCCGGAAGTGGTCCCTACCATAACCTATTATACGCCGCCACGTATAATTTCTAGCCAAAAAAAGGCTAAGTTATGTGCTTGTACAATGGTGTATAATGTGGCTAAATTCTTAAGAGAATGGATTTTGTATCATTCAAGAATTGGAGTTGAAAAATTTATACTATATGATAATGGAAGTGATGATAATTTAGCCACAATTGTTAATGAGCTAGTTGAAGAAGGCTATGATGTGAAAACTCATTTTTGGCTATGGCCAAAAACTCAAGAAGGTGGTTTTTCCCATAGTGTTATTTTTGCAAAAGATTCATGTTCATGGATGATGTATATTGATGTTGATGAATTTGTATATTCTCCATCATGGTCTAATTTAACTCAACCATCAAAATCATTGTTACCTTCTATGTTACCAAATTTAGAAGAAGAGGACAATGTTGCACAAATTAGCATCCCTTGTTATGAATTTGGACCATCGAATCAAAAGGAACATCCAACGAAAGGTGTGATACAAGGATACAATTGTAGGAGGAGAACAGAGAATCGACACAAGTCTATAGTGTTACTGTCTGCCGTGGACAACTCTTTGCTCAACGTGATCCATCATTTCAAATTGAAGACGGGGTACAATGTGAAGAAATTGAATGTTTTCGAAATGGTGGTGAACCATTACAAGTTTCAAGCTTGGCCTGAGTTTAAGGCTAAGTTTAGGAGGAGGGTGTCAACTTATGTTGTCGATTGGACTAAACCATCGAACCTTGGTTCGAATGATCGGACTCCAGGATTAGGGTATAGTCCTGTTGAGCCTATAGGTTGGAAGAGCAAGTTTTGTGAGGTATATGATAATGGTTTAAAAGATTTGACACATACATGGTCTATAGTCGAGTTTGTTGCTCCATCAGAGTATCAAATGCCTTGGCTGAATTAAGTCATTTCAAATAATGTGTTTTAAAAGTTGTGTAGACATAGGTTCAAAATAGTTGACCAATATTAATAGTGAATTGAGTCGTTATAACAAGTTTCACTAATTGTGACATTAGAATTTAACATGATTGAATGCAACATAGTAAAATAGCTTCTCTTAGTTTGTTTGTTCTTTTGATTCTTTTAGAGTAAGTTGATGTATCTTTATTGGTTCTTCTCAATAGAATTTACAAGATTAATGTTACTAATTTTTCATTAATGGAAATATGGAATCATGTTATGTTTTCCTTTTTTTTTTTTGGGTGGTACAATTAACTAGTGTGCGCCGCCCCTATTATAATTAAGCCTATATTTAAACTTTAAACTATAGTGATTCCCATTATTGAATTGGCTCTTTATTACTACTACTGCTACTTAATTAGATCCTAAAATTAATTATTTTGGTATGATAAATATTAAGTCACATGAAACATGGAAATGTCTTCTTTAATATAAGAAACATGAAACATGAGATAATGGATATAGTAATACTCTATATTCACGGTAAAATATTGAATCCGTCTCTAATATAGTATATACATTATTTTAAAACTCAATAAATCGAGAAAAAAATGAGAAACTCGTAGAACAATAAATGAAAGAGAAATATATGAGTTAGGTCTAGAAGTAGAAATGCTCGCATAATCCAAAACAACTATTTTTAGTGAATACGACAAATAATTTGATATGGAAGGGAGTATTTGATCTACCATGTGATATATGCAAAGAATATAGTTTTGTGATAAAAAGAAGTCAAGAACAATACCATGCATTATGGGGGAGGTACTTCAATTGTACATAAAGTTGCAAATTCCTACAAACTTTATGCTAACTTGTAGGAGTTAATTTTAGACTTTTTAGCTCTCTTTTTTTCTGCCTAGTAGTTCACTTCACTCTCTCAAAAGTGGATCTTATCCTTTGATTGTACAAAAAGTTTGGTCCCCTCAAGTCTAGACTTTTGGTTTTTCAATGTAATTCTACTTCAAATAAACCAACTTGATAATTCGAAAAATAAATAAATATGATTTAACAATTTGATTTGATCATAATTGATTAGGTCTGGTTTTAACAAAAAAAAAAGTCAAACAGAACCAAATCATCCCAACATTACATGTACAAAATAATTTGGTTTGATATTTGAAAAAAATTGACAACTCAGTCCATTACATTCTTATATCTTACCCTTTTCCGACGTCAATTACAAAATTACACCTAATATGATATTGTTTATTGTATTGTTTACACTAAATCAAGCAAATTTATCTCAAAGCATTAGTTTGATTGAAGTGAATATTAATAACAATATTAAAAAAAAGGAAGGGAAAATTAGTAATTAAGTCATAATGTCTAACATAATTAGTCAAAATAACAATACTTTAAAATATTTATTTAACATGGCAGAATGACAATATTTTTATAAAATAATATGTATTCATATTTTAGTATTTTAAATTAATTTTATTTATGGAAAGAGTTCTATATTGGACCAAATTATATACCAATAACCGTTTAAAGTGAAAAATAAATAAATTAAACCTACACCATTAACTTTTTTTCATCACCTTTCACGTTTCTTCCCCACCTTTCACGTTTCAAGTTTATCTTTCTTCAAGGTGCTAAATTGTTGTTCATCAAGAAATTTTCTTTATTGTTAAACGAAATCTCTTTATTAATTCAAGCAGATTTCTCGGTTGGCAAGGTAATTTTCATTATCCATTTCGATTAGTTATTTTGATTTCTTTTGATTTGTTTTCAATATCACCGTTTATGGTTTATATTTCAAATAAACCAACTCGATAATCCGAAAAATAAATAAATATGATTTAACGATTTGATTTGATCATAATTGATTAGGTCTGGTTTTAGCCAAAAAAAAGAGTCAAACAGAACCAAATCATCCCAACATTACATGTACAAAATGATTTGGTTTGATATTTGAAAAAATTCGTCAACTCAGTCCAGTACATTCTTATATCTTACCCTTTTCAGACGTCAATTACAAAATTACACCTAATATGATATTGTTTGTTGTATTGTTTACACTAAATCAAGCAAATTTATCTCAAAGCATTAGTTTGATTGAAGTGAATATTAATAACAATATTTAAAAAAAAACTTAGCATTGGGCCATGGTTAGATTTGTCAACTTTCTTAGATGGGCCTTATCCATGTTGTAGACCAATATCTAGAGGCCCAATTAGCTCACTCCTTTTAACATAGTAAAAATTAGGCAAATGACATAGTATAAGAAATAAATTACTTTCTTTCCCTACTCTTTCATTAATTACCAAAAATCCCTTTTTTTAGTGTTTTCGGATACATAATATAGCAGTGTGGATACTTAATATAGCAGCGCGGATACTTTAATTAATAACGAGCGGATACTTAAATATTAAGTTGTTAGCAACACGGATACTTAATTAACGGGCGGATGCATAATATAACAGCGCAGATACTTTAATTAATAACGGGCGGATACTTAAATTATTAAGTTGTTAGCAGCACAGATACTTAATTAACGGGCGGATGCATAATATAGCAGCGCGGATACTTTAATTAATAACGGACGGATACTTAAACTAATAAAGTATCCGGTTAACTTGAATTGGGGGGAAATAAGAGATTTTTGTATTTTAGTAAAAAAGTAGGGAAAAATTGAGAATAAGTAAAAAAGTATTGTGTATTTAAGTAATTTTTCCAGAGAGTAGGGAAAAATTATATAGATATGGGCTTACTAAGGCCCATCTTTGCACCATACCACCTCTAAACAATAATATGGGCCGAAGTGTACACATATCCGATTTTGAGATCATCATTTAAGCTACCTTCTTAATACGTAAAATTTACAAATTTTATCGACTTCGAAAAATGGACATATACTAATAATAGCGATGTCCAAGTATGGTGCACCATGAAATTCTTATAATTATGTGACATTTTTCTTTCCTTTTGACTTTTCTGGATAGTGATCTCGCTGTATAGTTTATGTTTTTTTATATATATGATGATGGTTTCACTCTCGGATTCAATTATTAAGTAAAATTGTGATCATTTCATATTAAAATTGAAGTAATTTTTAAAAAAACACATTCTTATAAACTATTTTTTTTTTCATCTTCTAATAAGTATTTTATTCAATTCTTGTTCTACACCAACTTTTAAGATAAGAGAAAATCTTAAGTCAAATATATCTACAACAACACTAACATATTCAGAAATAAATATGTAAACAATCTTAACCATATCTTATACAAATAAAAAGACGACATTCACTTCAAAACAAGTAAAACCTTTCAAAATTAAATATATCAAAAACATCAAAATAAAAATTTAAAGGTAATATATTCCAATTGAATAAAATATAAAGTATGGTCCCATCTCCACCTAAATACTAGGGGCCCAAAATTCCATGCAGAATCTATAACGGCGCTAACGCGTTTCCATATCATATTTATATATTCCTTATTGTTATTATTATTCCAAACTATTTTAAAAAAAACAATATTCGTCAGTGAATAACTCCTTTTGCAAATAATATTTTTTTTCGATAATTTTTAATTATAATTTTTCATATATAACATGTTTCCATTTATATTATCAAAATTAGACAAATAAATCGATTTTGTCGCAACAGTTGTCGGTAATTGATGAAAAAATAGACCAATGAAGGAGGGTAAATTCGTCATTTCATTTTCACTTCCCTCACCCAAACGTTTAAATGCTTTGCCATTGAAAACGACCTGCAACTATAATCAAGAGTGAGCTTTAATGCCCCAATTTTTCATCTTTTGCTTTAATTAAATTTTTCCCACTTTAAATTCATACCCAAAAAGCCTCATATAAAAAAGATTATTTTTAAAAAAAAAATTAATTAATTTTTTTGGTGGGTGGGTGGTAAAGAAGGATTACCGTTAAAGCTGGCGTTGAATGAGGAGCTGGAAGAATTTTGTCTGAATTTAGGAATTTTTTTGATATTTTTTAACTTTATTTGTTCATAGGATTCTTGAAGATGACAAATATTTAGGACCCATTTTTGGTTTAGTGTTGTTTTTTAGCTTGGTTTAGTTTTGGTAACTTATTTAATTTAGGATTGTTTAAAAAGTTGAGATTTTTCCTTTTTTCTCCTGTGTTTTGAACCGACTTTTAAGTCATAGAAGATACTATCAAATACTATTTAGGACCCATTTTTGGTTCAATGTAATTTCTTAATAATATTTTTAATTTTTTTTTACTTTATTTATATTTGTTTGGTTGTCTTTATTGTATTTGCAGATCTATGAATGTGAAAGCTTCAATCTTTTTTCTCTAATATTTATTTTTCTTGATAGAATAATTAGGTTTTTTACATTTCTAGAAGGAAAAGGAATCGACCCTTTTGGTTCTTCTTTCTTCTGAGCTCCAAAAATCCTTTCTTTTCTTGTTTTTTTTTGTTCTTTTAACTGTTTTGTTCATTTTGGAGCTCCTATATAGTAATTTTAGCAGGAGTTTGAGGTGGGGTTTTGTGGTTTTTGAAATATCTGTGTTTGGTTGTGAAGTAAAATTGGCTAAAAAAGCTTATGAAGAAAAAAATGGGTTGCTTTTCTTGCATGAGGTTTAATCGAAAAGATGTAAGAGATTTTGATGAAGATATGGGTTCAAGATCCATCAAATCTTCAGGTTTGCTTCTTAGATTTTCCTTTGTTGTTATCTACTTAGATAAAAGATTCAATTTTTAGCTTTTGATACAATGTAGGAACTACTGTTATTGTATAATTTTTGTTTATCATTACTCCGTTTAAGGAATTAATGAATACTTTTGAATCTTGTGCTTTTAAACATGTCATGTGAATAGTTAGAATTAAAGAATTGTTCGATTAGAAACAGATTAGAAAGTACAGTAAGACAAATAAATTGAAACGAAGGGAGTACTTTTTTTGGCTGTCACACAATGTAGTGTATGTATGTTAAAATCTGTTCCTTTTTTTGTGATTCTTGAACTGTAAGGGTTGTGATATACTTTATGTTGTTAGTAATGTCTGAGAGTTGAGTTGCTTTTGGGAGATGGGGAGTTTGATCATGTGATGCTTTAGTTCATTTTATTGAATTATGAGTTTTTGTTCATGTTTAGGGAAAGGTAGAAAAGGACGTTCTTTAGGAGGGAAAAGCGGGGAAAGCAACAACCAGAAGGGTAATGTCGCGCGCAGTTTCACTTTCAAAGAACTTGCCTTAGCAACCCAGAATTTCAGAGAAGCTAATCTTCTTGGCGAAGGCGGTTTTGGAAGTGTGTACAAGGGCCGCCTTGAATCAGGCCTGGCAAGTTTTCTACTTCCACAAGCATTTTGGCTTTTGATTTTCATATCTTGCTAACTTTCTATTCCTTGAAAAGGTTTATTGTTTGTCATTCTACCTGTCCAAAAGAAACAGGGGAGGAGAATGTTTTGCATAGATGAAAATTTGAATGCTACGTCCTAAAAAGATGAAAAATTTCAATGATAGGCTGCATTTGATGGCCGTTTATTGTTCCTCATGTGTTTTGATCTTGTAAACAGGTTGTTGCAATCAAACAACTTAATCTTGACGGTCTTCAAGGACACCAGGAGTTCATTGTGGAGGTCCTCATGTTGAGTTTATTACATCACAAAAATCTTGTCAACTTGATCGGATACTGCACTGATGGAGATCAAAGGCTCTTGGTTTATGAGTTCATGCCAATGGGTAGCCTGGAGAATCATCTTTTTGGTAATTTAATTTCTTTCCACAAGTAATATTCCTGTTTGATTTCACTGCTTTGTTTATCCAAGTTTTGTTAGTCAAGCTGTTTTTCTTCCACTTGCTTCAAAGATGTTGAATCATGAGTCGTGATCCTATGTTTGTGAAAGATTTTTCATATTTTCAACTGCATTCTAGTACTGTTATGGCTATATTACATGACATTAGCTTTTGCTTTCACAAGATGTCAAATGTGAAATTGAGATTACCTGTATTATATCTTCAGGATTGCTCTCATTGGTTACTGTAGTGGAAGGTGCTGGACAAGCTCATGTCTTATCTGTGTGCTTGTATTAGTATTTTGTTATGAGTGATGGATAATTTTTATATAATTTCCTTATAATCAAGTAGTATTTTCTTTTAATTTTTGTAGTTATCTTGCTTGATAGTGCAGTACTCTGAACAGTATGTTACTATTGATATTGTAGATTTAGAACCAGGAAAGAAGCCACTGAGTTGGAGCACGAGACTTAAAATTGCTTCTGGTGCAGCTCATGGACTTGAATATCTTCATTGCGAAGCGAATCCCCCTGTCATTTACCGTGATTTGAAATCTTCAAACATATTGTTGGACAATGATTTCAACCCCAAACTGTCAGATTTTGGACTTGCAAAGTTGGGACCTGTCGGCGAAAACACCCATGTTTCGACGCGAGTGATGGGAACCTATGGATACTGTGCCCCTGAGTATGCCATGAGTGGAAAATTGACTCTGAAATCTGACATTTATAGTTTAGGTGTTGTACTGTTGGAGTTAATAACAGGGCGAAAGGCTTATGACAACTCTAAAGGGGCTGGAGAACAGAACCTTGTTGTTTGGGTGAGTTTATATTATCTGGTGTGCCTGCATATTAATTTCCGTCTACTTATAGTTCCTGCTCAAATAGTTTGCACTATGGTTTTCAGATTTTACAATCTATATTCAATAGATAACCGTAATTTCTTGTTCATTGCCATGTTTCATGTATTTGAACTAAGCTGTTGCACATTTTACGAACCAATCTTTGTTAATTCTCTTCCAAAATTTACATGTTGAGCTTGTTAGCAGATTGGATCACAACCTGATTCCAGTATAGATTATTTACCGGTTTTTGTACTTCGATTGTTGTATTTTTTTTGTTTTAGTTACTGTGCAGATTGCTTTGTCGGTCTTTCTATAGTATTTTTCCATGGAAGGGGGTAAGGTTGTTGTTGGAGTTTGGGGCAATCTCATAAGAATTTCAGCCGTCATCTCAACTGCAATAATAGCTCGTTGATGGAACTTTAGATATTACTAACTTTAAAAGTAATAGATGTTATTATCTTTATGTGCTTCTTGATCTGAGAAATTCTTCTTTTGGTTGCAGTCTCGTCCTTTCCTTAAGGACCGGAGGAAGTTTGTTCATATGGTTGATCCTTTGTTGAATGGTCAGTTTTCCGTGCGCTCTTTGCACCATGCAGTTGCAATTACTGCAATGTGTATCCAGGAGCAAGCCAGTTTTCGCCCCATCATCAGTGATATTGTTGTCGCACTTGACTATCTTGTTTCACAAGCAGAAAGCTCTGATTCGCAAGGAGGTGGTTCACAAACTGTAAAGGATAATTAAACGTCAGTTCAAGAAAACAAACTTTTGAATATAGATCTGCTCCGTGTTAAAGCTTGTCCACATCAAATTGCTGAGGAGTATTGAGGTAAGAAGACATCTCACATGCAATGTGCTTCCGCTGATTATGATGAACTGTAAAGAAGGTGCACAAAATGTTAACAAAATACTGCTATTAGGATTTTGTTCTAAGCGAAAGTTAGTTACATATATCTGACCGTTTAAGTGTGTTGGATTCGCCAAAGGTTAGTTTAGAAACATTCTTTTACGCGTCTCTTGTCTACATATTTTCATTCTTCTCCTGTTTGGTTGGTGTGGATTGAGGAAGTTCTCGTTTATAATACAAACTTTGAAGTTGATATGTGAATATATATGTCAAGATGCCTACAGGATGATCATTTCAATCTGTAATTTATATGCCTTGAAATACGAAACGCGATCATGGACCGGAAATTGTAATAGAAAGACTAGTTTTATCTCTTCTCTTGATGGGGGCAGAAAGTTGTGCAACAACCTTTTATGTGTTCAACTAGTTTTTTTGTCTTCCTTTTGTTGGGGGTTTATCTTGTTCTGTTTTACTCTTGAAGTCAAGGAAAGTTTACTCTACTGCCTCTTTTTTCCTTTTTAACAACTGTGGTGTTTGCGCCAGCTTGTGCACACTGCAAGCTTGACGGGGTACCTGCTTGTGTTGCATGTGAGACTAGTTTGCTAATTATGGACTTATATGAACAGATGCAAGTTGTAGTAGATGGAGAGATAAAGAGCCTATTTGTTTTCTCACCTGACTTTGTCCACACATGTCTAATTTTCTTCTTTAAGTTTGATAAAAATACTACAAACTTTTTGGTGTTTCAGATGATGTTTCCTAGAGTCAATGAAGCAAGAAAAATGCAGACCTGTATCTTTGGCTGTAACATTGGTCAAGATTGAGTCTTGTTTCACATTATTTTGATATTTTAAAACAAAAGTTTATGGTCGGGGCTAGTGGTGGAAGCCAGAATTTTCACTAAGCGGGGTTCAAACTATGAAAAGTAAACACATAATATTTCAAATATACAATGTAATTTTTGTTGAAGGTTAGAACTACATTAGTGGCCTATGGAACTTTTTCTTCATTTAAGCTTAAAATCGACAATATGAGTAAGCTTACGTAGATTAAACAAGTTAAATCGTTGAATTACGCTATTAATATGGAAGAGTGCAATATTATAATTCACATGATATACTAATGATAGTCTAGAATAGTTTTTTACATACTCTATTATTTAAAAGTTAAATGTAGCTAGTAATATAGAATGGAATATCAATGATACCAATGAGTACTATCAATGACATGAAAAACCAATCAATCATAAGTGAAGGTAGAACATAAAAACATGGATCCTGGTATGTGGTATTCATATCAGAATCTTGAAATATTTAATTTTGCTCGCATAAGGATTATTATAATATTAATAACAATAAATTCAATATAATTTTTATTTTTAATTTTGGACGATACTTTCTTATCACATAAGACTTCGATAAGGTCATAATTAATTAAGGACTATTAAAAAAGAAATATCCTCTACTAATTATTATTTTATATTGATTTGAGTTTAATATAGCTCATATATCCAAGATTAAAAAGTGATACATCTAATTTAGTCCATAGTTTTACAGAGTCAACCTATTCACATTTTTCTCTTTTTCTAAGAAAGTTCCTCTACCTGCCGACTTTTAAATTTAAATATGAATTTATATTTCACAATTTTCCATCTTTCTCAACTTTATTATCTTTATTTTCTCTAATATTTATATTTGTTTGAGTCGTTCAATTCCCATTGATTGAAATAAATAATATTCATATAAAATAGGAGTACTATCTTTTCTTGTCTTCCTTTTTATGTTTTTAAAGTGTTTCACGCTTTATTTTGGCATATTAGCATATATAGAAATTGTTTTATTATAAAGCTACAATATTATCAGATCAACTTGCCTGATTAATTTGCAATCATTTAACCAACGGCAATAATAATAACATATTCAGTGTACGATTATACGTAATTATAAGGTCTGAAAATGATACACACTAGATCTCACCTCGAAATAAAAATGAAAGATATAGAGAAGTCTGAAATAAAAAGATATAAAAGTGAAAAGACATGATAACGTAACTAATAAAGAAAATATTCTGCATAATTAGTACTCCCTCTGTCCCTAATTACTTGTCCATTTTGACAAATCTAGACAGGACAAAAAAAAATTTGCCTACTATACCCTTAATTAATTACTTAAAAAAATGTAGAACTTCTTGAAAACTTTAAGTTTTTAATTCATTTATTTCATAATTAATTGGAGTAAAATGATAAACTCACTATGTCAATAATTGTTTTCTTAATAGGTGTGTCAATTCAAAAGTGGATAGTAATTAGAGACGGAGGGAGTATTTCTCTAGCCATAAAAGTCAAAATGTTGGAAAAATAAGCCTATTGTGAAACATGTCTGTCTGAGAAAAAGTTTAATAAAAACAAGATAAACTAGTAAAAGAGAAAACTTTGTTTAAAAATAATGATTTAACGCTTTTTTTGTTGTTGAATAATATGAAATTGATCATCAAATGTTTGCGTCATTGATTACACATGAAATTCCAAGAATGTGAAAATAGCACTCCAATTTATCCCCAAAAAAAAACATTAATTTGTTTGTTAACGTTGACAACTTCTTCGACATGTCTCATTCTAAAATTTGGCAAAATGTGAGCCAACCATGTGAAAAAGTTTGTTTAATAAGGTCCGATTAAATTTGGATTTATCTTGAGAAGACTTTTATAATAGCGAAAGGAGTAAACTTTAAAGGTGATTTCATATCCAAAGTTCAAATTTGAGATTTTTAATTAAGAATAAGATGATTATTAGCTATTCTTTGTATGTTGGTTTGGAATTTTCTTTTTAAAAAAATATGCTATTTGAAAAGTAATCAATCTTTTCCCAGAAGAAAGAGGCAAAAATTGGTTGACAAAATAGATAAAATCTTTTTTAATAGGTCAAAGGTATAGTTTTAAATTATTAAAAATCTCCAAATTAGCAAAAATAATATAAGGATTTAGTCAAGTTTGAATTTTGCTATAATTTTATATCCATATTATCTCACTTGTAATAAACCCCTTAATATTAGTAAATCATAACTTTGGTTCTCGTAATATCTCATTAAGTATATTTAATCTTGACTTAATCAAAGATGTTTGGTAGCTTTTGTTTCCTAATTAATTACACGTGTAACTAATGATGTAGTTTATAGGAGTAAAAATTCATTAAATCTATGAAGATTAATAAGCAGAAGAATATTAAACAATGAAAAATGCACGCTCTTAATAAGATATTTCAATGATCAAAATAAGAGTTTTTGTCATCTTCATGCAAATCCTATTAAGTTAATTAACTATTGACAAAATGTATAGAAGTGAAGATACGAATTAAACTTTATGAATTTTAAATTTTAAAATAATAACATTGATATCAGATTCGAGTAAATGAGTTCTAAATGTGAAAATTACAAGAATATACTATTTAAGATAGTTCCGTCCTATTGAACATGTATGTGTTACTCAATGCATGTGTATTGTATCTTACCATGTTTCATTACGTCTTCAAAATGTGCCCCATATTTTGGGTAGGGGACAACATATAAGCCAAAAATAAAAGTAAATAATGGGAAGAGTAGACTTTATGCTTTTATGTGTAGGTCCAGATTAAATAATGTAAAATGAAATTAAGTCCCAAATAGACTAATTATATATAATAAAAAATTTCCCAATATATAGACTGAGTCTGATAAACCAATTCTCATCTTAATATACCATCTCTTTCATTGGCTATATCATATTATTAGAGTATTTATAATGGTGTAGACACTATTTTTTTTCTCCAAACAAGATTATATCACATTTTGGAAAATAAACATGCCATTAAGGGTGTATTTGATACGAAGAAAAATGTTTATTTAGGAAAATATAAGTTAATTTCTTATTATTTTAATTTCTTGAGTTCGATATGTAAATTAAAAATATTATCCAAATACATTTATATATAATCTAGATAAATATTATGACAGATAGGTGAGATTGGGGGTACGTTTTTGGGGTTGGTGACTACATAGAGGTGGGATAAAGATGAGTTATGTTATAGCTAGGGTGCGGAAAACATAATCAATATTTAACCTATTTAATCTCTTTTATACTAGCGAAGTCATTTTTCTTATTTTTAAGAAACCTAATTATTATGTTTTAAGAAAAAAGACGACTAATCAAACATGAAAAAATTGAGATTTTCCTCCGTTCAGAATGCACTCTATTTATTGGAAGAGAAAAACAAAAGTTAATACTCACAAAAGAGTCAAACAGTGCGCTATTTATTTTAGGAAGAATTCAAAGGTTTATAGTGAGGAGAAAACAAATCAGTCAATCATTGATTTATTCAAGGACATAAAATTATGGTTCCAAATTGAAATTTTTTACTAGCGTGTAATTTTTATGAGAATCCCAAAAATATGTAAAATATAATTCATGTGTGTTCTAAGTTAACCGAGATAACCTAGTGTCTTGTGAATGTCAGATAACATTTTAGGAATTCAATTTACAAATCTTTTTTAAAAAATAAAATAAAATCGATTTGTAACTCTTGTTCCACCAATGCAATACTTCCTGAAATTAAAGTATAAATTATAGATAAAATCGCCATAAAAAGTGCACTAATAATTATATGAAATATAAGGAAGATTACCTAATAAAACGAGTTACTTTTTATCGTGTAAAAAATGTACGCTACTTTACTTTATGTAAGTTAAATTTTAAGTGTAATGAATATTTGTCGAGATGAAGATTTATGAAGTCTAATATCTTCACTTTAAATTTCGATATATTGATATACAAAATTACGTTGACAATGTATATAACTAAAATCTGTTCGTCTCTCCTTCTTTTCGCCTCTTAAATATTATCTATATATATCTTGTTATAATTATATTTTTGACCCCTGTAGTTGGTCAGAATGTAGATTAATTTTTAATTTACTTTCTGGATTAATAAAGTCAATTTTTTTCTTTTAAATTTCAAAAGAGTATTGCTTTATTTTTTTAATATTATAAAGTACAATAAGATATGCTTCTAGTACATATTTACTACGTGTGTGACGCGGTATAGTTGACTTGTTCTTATTATTTTATTTTAAAAAAAGTTAAACGCACCTCTTTTAAGAAATAATTTTAAAAAATTCCTAACTTTCATGTATCTTGTCTTATTATTTTCTTGTTGAAATCATATAAACTATTGTTTTCTTGTTCTACAATGTTTTAATACTAATATTATGTTCTAGAAAATAATTTTTCAAAGCAAAGCAATTTTAATGTGTCTGTGCAATATTTTGGAAGTCAACTAACTAATTTTCATAAGTCAAAATTAAACGTAAATGAATGATCTCTTAAATTTAAATATAATAAATTTAATTTACATTGATAATATTATTAATCAATTTGTGTATTATTTTAATAAATATATATCTTAAAAGTTGACACTCAGGTTTAATTTTATCCCATCACGTCCAAGAAGATATCCAAAGTCTGGTTGGCTAGAACAAGTCATAGCCGTAATAGGATTGAAAAAAAGAAGATCTCTTAGGTATTAAATGAACTTCTTTTATAAAATAATATCATAAAACTAAACAAAATGGACGAGAAATAGTAATCATACAAATAAAATTAATTCACGATAATATTTTGAAGTTTTAATTTTGAGAATTTGAAACTCCTAAGAGAGTTGGAAAATTGCCACAAAAATCAAAAGAGGTTGTTAGAGAACTTATTGGGCAAGGAAATAAAGGAGTGGGTTGCAAATTAAACTATAGATTAAAATAAAGTGACAATATATTTTTTAAAATAATAATAATAATACAACAAAGTGATAATAGTCTCTGTGTTTTTGTATACAATATGAATATAAAAGGGGTTATCCCATTTTTCATTTGGCTAACTATCTTTCCTCCTCCTTTCCTTCTCTCTTCCTAAGAAATTAATGCAGTACTCCACAACCACAAGAAAACTATCAACTATTCTTATTATTTAGTAGCAACAACACAACTACTTCTCCCAAAAATATTACTTACAAGAGAAATTTAAGAACAAAGAAAAAATGGGAAATTGTTGGCCAAAACCTGTTGATGTTCATCCTCCCACTGTCAAATACTCTAATAGTATTCCTTCAGGTATTTTAGTTTGTTTCAGAAAGAATATCTCTAATATTATTGTTATAGTCGCAAAATGTTTAAATTCACAAGTTCTAAGTGTACTTTTGGTATATATATGTCAAAAGTTTTCGTTCATTATCTTGAACTCCATGCTTGATCAAACACCATCTAATATATATATGTTACGTTGGTTGTTGAATCTTATTAATTTCTTCGTGTGTTTAGTGTTTACTATTTTATATCTTGAATATATTTCTTTTGATGAATATTCTGACTCATGAATATTATTCAAAAGTACCTTTTTGTTTCCTAATTTAATTGTGCTATAAAAAAAGTTTCATTTTCCAATTTTCTATGTTTATGTTCCTCGTATTAAAAATTCTGACTCATGACTATTAATTCCTAAGAAGTATTTTTCTAATTTTTTATCCCTTGGTAGTGATCGTGAAGAAACCAATTAATACTTCTCCGGGAAGGAACACAAGGAATGTGGTGGCGCAGCCTAGCGGAGATGGCGGTGATTCGAGGAAAGTGGAAGTTCCGGCTAGTGGAAAAATAATCACGCCAAATTTAAAAATGTTTACGCTAGCGGAATTAAAGAGTGCAACGCGGAATTTTCGCCCCGATACGGTGCTAGGAGAGGGAGGATTTGGTACAGTATTTAAAGGATGGGTCGATGATAAAACATTTGCACCTTCTAAAGTTGGAGTTGGTATGCCTGTTGCTGTTAAAAAATCAAATCCTGATAGTGAACAAGGCCTTAAAGAATGGCAGGTTGGTTACTATATATCCTCTTCGATTTTCCATGTATTTCTTTAAAGTATAATATCTGAAACTTACTGATACGACTAATTTAAATTAGTTAGTTGAGTAGATCGTCTAAATAGGGTAAAACGCTTTTCAAGAATGATAATGATTGTGTGAGTTTGGTGGTGGGTGGGAGGGGTGCAGAGGTCATGATATGATATGATATGTGATGTCGACTTCACCAAAATGTCAGTGTTGTATAGGACTGAGTATATTTGATGTCCACCTCAAAACGCAGGACCTTTGGTTATTTGCGTAAAGATATACCTTTTATAGCTAAATTGTGTTTTAAAAGTGTTTTTTTCTAAATTTAGATGGTTCGATTAAGAAATACATAATTTTAAAAATGCTCTCGAAAAAGGTTATTTGTAAAAATTTCTTCTTTTTAAGTGCTTATATTTGAGATCTTTGATAAAAGATGGTGTTAAGTCGAACCCCACTCTTGGTGGTCCAGGAATTATTTATTCATGAAGAAGCAATAATGTTGATCAGAATATACTTTCTTTTATTTTCTCCAATTTTTTACGTTCATTGAAAGCTAGGAATATTAAATTGACAATTGAGTGCCATAAGACCAAACACTAGAGCTATTAAATTTTATATTACCAACAAAATAGACCCCTCCAAAGTCAAATTGTGCTTGATTTGAAAATTTAGTTAAATTTTACTATATTACTCCTATATATTATTATAAAAATTTTGTAAACATAAGCGGAGCTAGCACATATATATATATATCATCACGAGTGTAGTTAAATTCATAAATTTTGATCAAAATACTAAGCATGTATAAATTATTAAGTTAGAACTTAAAAACGAAAAAGAAAAAAACGACTAATAGCTTAAGTGCATGAACTTTGAGTTCGAATTCCGCCTCTATTATATGTGCCCTTTAAAATTGATTTTTTTTTAAAAAGTATGAGCTCGGATAGTCTTCGATATTTTTTAATATTATCTATATAACTTTTTTCAGGTTTTTAATTTGTTTTTTTTTCTTTTCTCATAGCTAATATTTGACTAGTCACTTCTCTGAGGAATAAAAAAAGGAGAGTCTAATAATTAGATCAATTAATTAAATTTAGAAGATAATATAGTTTGACTCTTTCAAAGTATCCACGTGGGTTTCCATTCTATCAATTAATTTCTGGAAAATATATTAATCAAATTTAAATCATGAAAAAGAAATATCACAACTCACACACAAATATATTCCATTGCTATAATATATTTCATGAAAGTATAAATCACTTTTTCGATACTATTAGTGCAATTTAACTTGGTGTAGATCATTATTTGTTTTATTTTTCAGGTTACTAATATATATATATATATATATATATATATATATATATATATATATATATATAAATCACTAATTATAGGTAATAACCTAGGTCTATTTGTGTTTGTATTAACAATGTAAAAATAAATTTTACACTATAAATGTAATTTAACATGTTATTACAAGTTACTTATGTCATTTTCTAGTTAACTAATGTTACTATAATTACCTATAGTTATTTATTTATTTTCATGTCAAATTCACTACCTTTAAAAAAGTGTAAATTTATTAAGTCAAACACAAGAAAAAAGGCACTAGTAAATATTACATTGTACACTTGCATTCAATTGATAGAAGTTGAAAAAAGTTCAAAGGAATTGGTTGTTTGACTAATGAATTACGTAGAAAAATAGATCTTTTTTCTTTGATTTGAACTAAAAAATAAATTAAGAGTAATAATTTTATTCAGTTCGCTTTCGAATAATTTGTTGATCGTACAGCACCTCAACTCAAAGACTTGAGTTAGTCTCTCTGATTGGAACTGCATTCATTTATTATGCCTTAGATTGAGATATCTTGAAATCAACGTTTTGAGTCAACTTTCTAATTTGAAATAGTAAAATTATAAAAATATCAACGATGAAACAGTTCAATTTGTTTTCTATTTATAATAAAAAAATATTATTGTTTTCTATAGAAAATTGATGATTTAATATTTGTTTTTGCAGGCTGAAGTAAAGTTTTTGGGAAAATTTAGTCACCCAAATTTAGTAAAATTAATTGGATATTGTTGGGAAGAAAAAACATTCCTTCTAGTATATGAACACATGCAGAAAGGAAGCTTAGAAAGTCATCTTTTCAGAAGTAAGCCCCTTACTATTCTATTTTTCATTAACTCGATTTAATTTATATACACTAACATTATAAAAAAAACGTTCGATTTTATTAGAAGAAGGCGCGGAAGCATTGTCATGGGATACAAGGCTGAAAATAGCAATCGGAGCAGCAAGAGGACTTGAGTTCTTACACACCACAGAAAAACAAGTTATTTACCGCGATTTTAAAGCTGCCAATATTTTACTGGACACGGTAATTCTTCTTTTCTTAGAATAAAATATACGTAGATCTTATTAACGATATTACTTTTACTGATAAAATGTTGGTTTCAATTATTGTGACAGGACTATAATGCAAAGCTTTCAGATTTTGGACTAGCAAAAATGGGTCCAGTAAATGGGGACTCACATGTGACCACTAAAATTGTTGGTACTTATGGCTATGCTGCACCTGAGTACATGGCCACTGGTAATTTATACTACTTTATTTCAATATCGGTTTGATATTCGATTAAATTTAAATTTATATAAAAAAGGTATAGCCCTATTCATATACTTTATTTCGATATCTGTATTGATATTCAATTAAATTTAAATTTATATAAAAAAGGTATAGCCCTATGCATATATTAAATTCGAATATGAAATTTTAATTAAGAATAAAAAATACTTATTCATCTGATTGATGATAGTGAAAGGAAGGAAATTGACTTCTTGAAAAAAATTATATTCTTGGCCCAAACTTTTCTATGTTCACACATTTGCAAATTTGACCTTGTCCTTAGAGAAAATTTCAACCTAAATGTGAACTCCTAAATGATTTATTTATTAATATTAGCTGGCAAAGCTGAGTATAAATTGGTTCAACTACTTTTTGTCTTTATATTCCTTATATTTTATTTCTTAAAAAAAATATTGAATCATATATCTTTTTTTGTTTCTTCATTGAAAAAGTCTTGATTCCTACACCTTATGTTCGATTTATGTAAATGTCTCTTTTCAAAAGTCATCATTTAGCTATTGTTTCTTAAAAATTATTCTTTCGAATAACGCTTGACTTAGGTTTAATATTTATTCATATACTATTCAAGTTCAACCTTAAAGACAATCTTTTAGATTGGTCTTGAAATTGTGGTCTAACGTTCTCTCGTAAGATTTTCAAGTTGCTCAATGATCTAAAAAGTTCGGAGATAAATAAAAAGAGGTCTATTTTAGTAAACAGTTATTCCAAAAAGAGACAACTAACGAAAATTTCACTTCATTTTTGGCAGGTCATTTATACGTAAAGAGTGACGTATATGGGTTCGGAGTGTTGTTACTTGAAATCCTTTCGGGCCGGAGAGTACTGGATCTTAACAGGCCCAATGGAGAACATAATTTAGTAGATTGGGCCAAGCCCATGTTACCTGACAAAAAGAAGCTAAGGAAATTAATGGACCCAAGACTGGAGGCCCAATACCCATCAAAGGCTGCATTTCAAATAGCTGAAATTATAGTAAAATGCCTTGAACCTGATCCAAAAAATAGACCTTCCATGGAAGAAATTTTGGAATGTCTGGAACAATGTAACGGGATCCAAATGAAACCGCGATCAAAAAATACCACGAGAAATCACAATCATCGAGGGCATCGATCACCTCTCCACGTTAAGAAAACAAGTAGTGGTAATGTGATTGGAAACCAAGGCTATAATGCTCCAACGAACCGTAGCTATTGAAACTCGAAAGGGAGATCAATCAAATGTTCTTTCTTTTAGTTATACGACCAATTCTACGAAAGATCTTTATGATTTGTGGGCTTGTGTACATCAAGGCCCAGTCCAACAAAGGCCCAATAAGTAAGGCCCATTAAGGGGCCCACTAAGCTCTGTTGGTAGTTTGAAATGGTCTTATGTAATCATGAGAAAAGCTGGCATTTGTCTGTATTCAGACTGGAGATAGTCAACATCAACAGAAAAAAGGAATTCCACCTATCACTATAATAATTTTTAACTTTTTTTCAAAAAATAAAAACTTTTTTTTTTCTAAATAGATATGATTGTATCACCTTTTGTCTGTATATTTTTAATTTTTTGGATCCATTTCTAGAGTGATCATGTATCCTATTCTTAAGGTCAATATTGATTTACCTTTATTACTTTCTTGTCTTTATTATCCCTTGAGTCACTCTCTCTTACAAAGAAAGGGCAAGTATATCCATTTTTAATAAGTATACATGTAATATAATAATTTAGGGTGGGACAAAAGAAAATATTTTTTAATTTTCTCATGTTCGGTTGGTTGAGAATGTAGAATCTTTAAAAAATGAGGACAATAACTTACCTAGCAGAAGGAAGGAAAGTTTCATATATTGCATTCCACCACGTTGGTTGTTTCTTTCTTATCCTCCAACACACTTCATCTTCATGTTCATACCTCTTCTTTTTGACTTTTCATAGTGTTTGTCTAGATTATATACAAATGCTTTTAAGATAACTTTTTTTCTTCATTTTAACAAGTATATATGTATTATAATCACTTAAGGTGGCTCGATACAGAAGAAAATATTTTTCAGTTTTCTCATTTGCTTAAGAATTTAGAATCTTTTAAAAATGAGGACAGTGGATTACGTAATAGAAGGAAGGAACGTTTCATGCATTCCACCAAGTTGGTTGTTACATTCTCGGCCTCCAACATACCTTATCTTCACATTCACACACCCCACATTCTGACCTCACGTAGTGTTTGTCTAGAGTATATACAAATATTTTTTAGTTAACTTTTGTTTACGTACTGAACACGAGAAAATACGTAAGAAACTTGTTTATTCCTTCATACATAAAACACTTTACAAATTATGATGAAGTGATAAACACTCTTTCAATCTTAATCAAAGATATCAAATTCGAATTATATGTATGAAACCAATGTATTCTTAACATCATACGAATCTTAATTAATTAGACCTCAAAGCGAGTATAGACATTAAAGAGAATGGGACCAAATACAGTTGCTTGATAAATACTCAAAAAGGGTATATAAATGATGTTGAATGCAGTAGGAAATGATTAGTGTGGCAATTTCATCATGTTTGGGCCTGGTAGCTCAAAGATCTTTTCATCAGTCAATTACTTGCAGGCCCTCTCTAATTATTTCCACATGCCTTCCTATATAGCACGTCTAAACCCAAAATCTACCACAAAATTTTCATTTAATATAAAATTTATGAAGAAAAAAAATCAAATCTAGTCTAGATGGTAAACTTAATTTAATATATCATGTCAATCTTATAAGAAAGTAAAAATTTTAAATGAAACATTATTACGTGAGACATATAACTTGAAACAAAGAGAATATGAATAGTTTGAAACACTAACCTCCTAAAAAATACGCTTAGTGAAAAAGTTCTTCAAAAAAGTAATTGGTTTAGCAAGTAGTTGATAAGTATTCATTGTTAAATTACTATTTTTTTTCCTATGAATGTTTTAGGACAAAATCTATGAATACATGTTTAGTAATTTTATATTAACCTACCATATATGATATATTATAAAGATTTAACTATTAAATCCTTTTTTTAAAATTTAGTCAACTTTAATCAAAGCCGCCGGAAGTATAATGAAGATTATATAGCATGATGAAATTTTATACAATTAACAAAAAGGGAAATAAAAAGAATAAATTATTATATAAAATAATTATTTTTCAAATCCCAAAGTTAAAGTCTACTAATTACATAAACATGCGTCTAAGTGTGTGCAGTCCCTTTAAGAATAAAGTTGAATTTGTACTATTTAATTAACTCTTATTAAACTATAAGTAAAAAAAAAGTTGAAATTCAACCCTAAAAGTATTTAAAAAGTAAAAAAAAAGGGACCTGCATGCTTAATCATTGAACTATTGAGCCCATAGATGTAAAGTTGTCTTCTTATAAATCTTTAGGGATTAATGAACATTAAAGCCCATCATGTTTCAACATGATCAAAAGTACCTATTTAACATGCTATTCTATCTTGTCATACATATAATTATCATTATTCATCAATTTTACTCCATTGCATTATTTAAAATTGTTCAATTTTTCACTTCATTATATATATATATATATATATATATTTATGTTGGCTCTAGTATTATCTCACGATACGATTATTTTAAATTATTATCAAAATAGACAAAATTTGATCTTTTTTGTCAATGGATTTTGACGTATGATATTGACTCTTTCATGATGAAAATCTATTAAGTTCATTGCGAATATGAAATAATTTATTAATAGCAGAGTCAAAATATAATCGAAAGAAAATTAAGCAATTCATATAGTATATGAGTAAATTCAAATTCGTCATGTGTGGACCCTCATTGATTGAGGTATTTCAGTGTGAAAAAAGATATAATTCCGGCTATATGATTAGTAGTTTTTAAAAAGAGATAAATGTTAGATTTTATTTGTTTCAATTATGCGCCTAAAGTTTTGGTCAATATTTTCTCTTTGTTCAAATTGAATTTTTGTATCACTTGTATACTAGTTTTAACTTTTCTCTTTGTTCACATTCAATCTTAATCATAGTATTCCATTCCTTTTATTTTACTCGATCGACTCTATATCTATTTAACCAATTAAGAGATTTTGTTAACTTTTTTTCGTTCGACTATAATCCTTACTTATAAATAGCTATATAAAAATAGTTTCAAAACATCATTAATAAGATTAATTAGTTTAATAATATACACATTTAATTAAAACTTTATTAAAGAGACATATCAAGCCAATATAGGTCAATTAATATGAAACGAAGAAAGTATCGACTAGTCAACTCTGTAGTATTATGATTTTCAAGGGGCTTTTTTCTTCTCATTTTCACTTGAGAGGAGTATGATTTGCCTAGTGTGTTACATATTTTGGAGCAAATTTAAGTGAGATGGTATTATTATTATTATTATTATTATTATTATTCACTATTTATTTTGCAACTGAACTTTGTTGAAACTAAATTTGACAGGTTGTGAAATATGAATCCTTACAAAATCATTACAGCTGTGGAATTTTTTTGTTTTTTTCGACAAAAGGATATATATTCCCTCTTCCGCTGAAATATTTGACATTGTAGTATTGTCTCTTGTATGCACTCAGCACTACCTTATAAATGAGTTGAGTGTTTGGATCGAAATAATAAAGTGTTATATGAAAGTTAAATCAAATGACAAATAATAAGATAATTTGATTTTCCAAACAATACTCTTGAAATGATAAAATTATGAATGTTATTGTGATATAAGAAAAAATGATTTTTTGTATATAAAAGTTCAAAATAAAAAGATAGATATGAAAGAGTTTTTTTCTATCAAAAAAAACTTTTCAAAATAAAATATAATTATTAAAGAATTTACATTAGAAAATTCAGGACAAATGCTATGGCCGATTGGATTTCTTAGACAAACAATGCATGAAACTTGAACCTTTTTCGAGAAATAGTTCTTCAAGAAACATCGATCTTCAAAAAAATGTCATAAATGGCTTGCTTTGTTTTTTTTTTCTAGAACTTTAGACCTAACTTATAAATGTTATTTGGACATTTATTCGTGACATCATAGATGATCCAAAAGAAACGATAAGGTTTATGATAGAGTGGTAAGTAATTTTTTATCCCTAATTAGAGGTATATTGGATTCGAGTCTTCCAGAATACTGAGTCACTTTTGTTAGAAAACGTTTTACCTCCACATATAAGATTTTTTTACATAAATTCAAATTTAATCGAGCTACAATATAAACATCGATAGGGGAAATAAATTGATGACTAGAAAGGGCTTCGAAGCATGTGATAAAAACTTATTTCAATGACAATTTGATACACTATTAATGTTCATCACAAAAAGAAGAAATACAACATTTTTTAAAGATAAAATTATATATGTATAATCTTCGTAGACTGAAGGACCACCTAGCTATGAAAATTATATTTCAATTATGTAGAATATAATGTTCATGCATATGAACAATTTATACGAAATATATTATGTGATATGAATATATGATCGAATTAGCGAAAGATTTATTACCTCCAAATACATTGCATAGACAATTCTATAGTGAATTATTATAAATAATTATAGCATTATTATTATTTGGTGTATGTTAATCATTAATTTAATTATATAGTAGTGGATGATTTAATTGAGATGTGTTGGAATAGTCTGTTGATAATTGAATGCATTTATTGGAGCAGTGAATTATTTTTGGAGTTAGGAAGGTCCAGTATATTGCAGAGTTCTTCAAATTAAGGGAATCCATTTTCATTAATGGACACATTTAATGATGTAGTTGTATTAATTTAGCTTTCTATGCTTATTGGATGTTTGGATGTTGATGGTGGCTGCTACTCATTTTCCAACGACAAGTGAGGTTGGAAGACGGTAGAAGATAAAATTGTTTTAATAGATCATCAATTCAGATTTTTCTGAGTTTATACTTCTTCACCGCTAATTTAAGCCAATATTTCAAAATTCAAACCTATTCATTTTTTAAAAGTAGAAACTAAATTTTAACCAAAAAAAAAAAAAGAACTTTATATTTTCGAGTTAGGTCCGTATTTTTCTTACAGATTTTACTACATTCTAAAAAGGTTTACTTTTTCGATTACATTTGCAAGGGTAGTTAAATTTTGATTGGCCACTCAAAAATCTATCGCCCCACCTAAGTTTTAGATATAAAACACTTTTATCATTCGAAATAATAAAAATTTGGATTAATGAATTCCGAACGTCAAGTAAAAAAATCGGATCAACTACTACTCTATATTTTGCTTATCAGTACATACAAAAGTTTTAAAAACAAAGAAAGGTAAAAAGGAATCGAGATCGCGCGGCACAAAGAAGTACAAAAATCTAGCTGGATATTCACTTTTGACTTTTCCAGAAACAAAAGAATGAAATACAAACGACTTTTCAGCCAAAAAGGTGACAAAAGTGCTCATCCAACTGTTTGAACATCCGATATGAAATTAAACTTTTATTTGGACATATATAATTTAAATTGCTTAAGTAACTGTGAAAATTATCAAAAGTTTTTCAATGCTTATATAATCGTTACTAAATAAACAAACAACAATTCATAAACAAAATATCAGAATATTCTAAGTCATCGTATTGATA